TTTATTTTTCCGTATTCTCTGTCTCTTAACTATTTACGAGGTCGAGTTGTTTGTGCAGTTTGATTATTTTGCTGGCAGCAGGGCAACGGTAAAGGTAACGGTAACCTGTGACTTTTCATAATTCAGCACTTTGGCCAACGAAAAGGGACGGCGAGAGAGTGGGAGATCGCAATGGGAGTTGCCGAAGCGTGAGAGTGAGGAGATCGGCTAGCTGTGGGAATATTTCACCCGAACATGTGTTGTGCGTTTTCTCTCATTTTTTTTTTCAATTAAAAATTGCTTACTGCAGCTGCAGAGCCATAAAAAATAAAAGGGGGGAGATGCAGCCGGCCATAAATGAAATTGATTTTATTTGTATAAACTGAAATTGGTTTCAACACAGTCGGCCAGATTCTGAGCTTATGAATAAAATGCAAAAATCCCAATAACAATAACGAGCTGGATGGCCTACAGTGGGCCTAGCTAAGAGGGATAGAATGGAGTGAATTATACATATTTTCTTCACATTTCAACCCAACGAGCTGGCCTTTTAACCAGATAGCCCGATGTATGCAAATTGCACTCGAGAATTCGATCGGAAAGTGAGAGCCTGAAATTGAAACTGGCAACTTTTATGAACTGCACAATAATGGGATTTTTATATAACCAATTTCCACTGTAATAATCGAGATGGAAACCGCAAGGGGGAAATGGGGGATTTGTGGTTGTTGCTGCTGCAGAAGCATTTTATTGTGGCCATCGAGGAAGCTGTTGTTAACTGTTGCCCGATGAGATGACGACTACGACGATGATGATAATGACGATGAAGAGGAAGGAAAAGAAGCTTGTTGCACAAGAACCCCCTGCCCACGACCACCTCGTTGCCAGCTTTAATTAAAAAGTTACCTGGGCAAAAATGTTTTAGCTATTTGCCTGGCAGCGATGGCAACCTGACCCCTGAATCCTCAGCATCCCCAGTATCCTCAGTGAACCTCTGAGCCCTCTGAACCGAGCTAACCGAACTGCCAGTCAACGGCTTTTTGGCTGCCGCTGCTGCGGTGCAGGTGAAACTTTCTATTGGATTCTGGGTTCAGTTCGGGATTCCTGTGCCTCATGGCCCATGCCATACTACCACCACTACTTACCAATTGATTCCCGTCCCGTTAGGGCAGCTGGCATAGGTATCGATATCCCGTGTAAACTTCGATTGACAGCCTGCAGCGAGAATCGGAATGGCAGCGGAAAGGTAACGAGCGTTCGATTGGATTGGATTCGATTGGGGTCGGATTGGATTGGATTGGTTTCTGTTTCGTTTTCTGCAGCCAAGTTTATGCGGCCCATAAATGTATGCTATAGTATTTTTATTAAAAATATTTCAAAGTCCCAAATTTTGATATATCTACACTATCTACATTTTATGTACATTTTATCTACATTTATCTACTTTTCGTAGTACTTAAAGTTACAGTCTTTCTCGTTAAACATAAATTAAATCATTTTAGCTAGTTCACAAATTTGCATATGGAATTCATCAGCCAAAAATTTCCCCGCCGCATATTTCAGAAATCATAATACGCTAAAGCATAAACGCGGTATTTGCGCTGGAATGTCACATACCATATACGCTTGTAGGTATGTATTTCTACAACAATTCGCCCGCTTACGAGATATTGCATTTGAATGAAGTTCGCACGACTCTCGCGGGAACGGGAGTGAAAGTGGGCGCCATTCGGGACGGATGATGGAGGCCTCTGGGGTGCGATTTTCCCGGTTTCAAAAATAAGAAATAAAAAAAAGAAAGGTCCTGAGAATGAAGCCGAGTCAAGCTACTCAAGGCGATGGGGAATTTTTTAATGATGTTACTTTCAGGAGAGCTCTCAAATCGTTTGAATACAAATTGTTCGCTGACTCCTCGATGTCCTCCCCAGTCTCTGGCTATACGAGTATATATACATATATATATATATGGTATACGGTATAAGGTATAGATATACCTCCCTCTTGCATTTCTCGGGATGTATTCATGAATTCTTTATCTCCATCTGCTTGCTTTGCCAGTTGGCAAGTTGTGAAAGTGAAATGCGAGACATGTTCCCCGAAAATCCTTGAGGCTGCGAGGTATGCGGGGGCTTCTGATGGGTGGTGGCCATTGTCAATGAACCCAAAAGTTATCCCAGCCATGCAAAATATACGCAAACTGCACAAGCTATGCACACTCGCAAAAAAGTATCGTTTTCCCCCTTTTTTTGGCACTGCAATGTTGTGATACTTTTTAAACTATTTAGTCGGCGAGTTTGGTTTGTGTTGATATATAGTAGGTACATATGTGATGTATTCAAACAGCGGTCGGAAAATAATATAATGATGAATAAATGATGTTCTAAAATGATTCGAAAGTTGAGAGGTACATAAATTTAATCATAATAAGGGAAACTAACATAATATTATATAAATAAATAAAATAAAAAATATTTATTTTATGTGATGAAAAACTTCATTCTTATTTACTGTATTATTATAGTATTTATTATTTATCTTCCAGTGCACCCATACGGGCCAACCCAATTTGAGGTATCGAAGGAATGTCGGGGCCTGTCAGAAACCCCCACCTCCCCGAACTTTCCCGCACTCCGACCAGGTGACACGAGATTCTCCGGACGGAATGCAGGTGGAACCGGGAAAGTGCGGCTGGTGCGGAGTGTTTGTTGCGTGAAGCCGCGGGATGCGAGGCCAACCAGCCCAGATCCATCTCAATTACCTTGCCATCTCAGCATCTCACCATCTTGCCAGGAGAGGAAAGCAGTTCAAGTTTGAGCTGTTCAGCTTGAGGTCGCTTATGAAACTACCAACTTGGCCAGAACTTGGCATCGAATTTGGCCCGCATATGCAGTCCTTGCACGGAAGTTCAAGTTTGAGTGGTTCGCCTTTGAAGGGGACTTCGATTCGAGTTCCTAATGTTCGGAGGACCTGGTGAAAAGTTGAAGCAATTACAAGTAATTTCTACACATTTTTAGCAGAGTGGGTTGAGTGCTGAGAGTAGGGATTAGATTCTCTTAATAACTAACAGGTTAAAAACTTTGGATTAAATGTGTTGACAAGCCTTTGTTAGTTGTTATTATACAAATAATTAGATGCTAACATAAAAAAGTATTTCTTAACTCCGCATATTTAATCATAAATAAATAAATACAATCCTGATTGTTATGGTGGCACTTGAATGCCGGAATATGGAGCATCCCATCGGATGCAATAAAGGGTAAACACAGGGAAAGGAGCAACCGCATACATATGCAGAGGTCCCTGTATGTCGTTTATATTTGCCATTAATCAGGCATATCCATTTACATGTGATGAACTTTATCCCTTAACCTGTTTACATGTAAATTACTTGCTGCTCATTTTATGTTGTGCTCCGAAAACTTACAAACAATCGGATGCACAGCAGGAAAACACACAAAGTACAGTGAAACGTTGGTATCATGAAGCTCTTATAATATATAACCATTTAAAAAAAAAAGTTTAATTTTTTTTAAATGGTTAACATTTATAAACAAATGAAGTCGAACGAATTAAATTCAGCTTGGTGCCAATCACAAGAATATTACATTTTCTACGCATTTGCTATTTCTTTTTAAAAAACTTTAACTGTTTATTCGCCCTTTTTGATTTTCTGCTTTCTTTTTTGATGTTTTTCAGTTTGTTTATTGTTTGAGTTACAAAACCGTATTGATTCAGGGTATGTAAATAGAGTAAATCATTGCTTCCCACTTTAGAAATGGAAGCCTGAAGAGTTCCACACTGGGAATAAAACCTGTGCACATGCAATGCTGCATATTAATAATTGAGATCCTGACAATGCCAGCGTTGCAATGCATTTTTCATATTTACCTCCGCATCGCACTGGCGCCGGAAAGAGATGGCGTACTTACAGGTTAAATAATATCAAGCATGTGCAATTGCCATTACATCCTTGTAATTGCCAAAATAATGGGAATTATGCGTATGAGAAAGTCAACACGGACACGATGCCAAACAGGGGGGACAGCCTACAAACGACGGACGGAGACGGACGATCCGCCGGACGGATAGTTAATTGAGCTGTTGGCTGGCTTACAATTCAAATTGTTGCCTTTGTTGCTGGCGTCATTAATGCGAGTGTTGGCACTTTCGCACGCACCTCTCGCTCGCTCCCGTCGCCTGTCTCTTTTCCGCGCCAAAGTTTGCTGGTAAACACATTCATAAAGCAAATATGCAAACACTCACCCACAGCCGGGGATAGGCAAATAGGAGAGGACTTAGAGTCGCGATATAGAATATTTTTAGGTGCACTACATTTGAATATTTATAATATATAAAAACATTTTTATAAAATTTTATATTCAATTAAATTAACACCATAAAGAATTCCAAGAAGTATCTGGAGTTTATGTTCTAACTTACTTTTTACTCCAATAGTTTAAGGATATTTTAAATCAATTTGCAGTTATTCATAGCATCAGAACTAAAATATAAAATTAAAATATATTTTTGTTAAGCCGAATGGACATCGAGTGGTTTTAGATCGGTATGCGGACAGCACTATTATCCTGGACTCCATTGTGCACACACACACGCACACGTGTGCCAGTGATGCCCATGTCCATGGTGGAACTATACAAGGTGATCTCGTCGCGAGAGCTGCCCTCTTTTGAGGACGTTATTTGAGCCAGTCTCTATCTAGCTTTCTCATTCTATCGCTTAAGAGAGACAGAGAGGTAAACATATTTAACGTCCTCAGCAGAGCTGACGAGACCACCTTGTATAGTTTCACCATGCCCATGTCGATGGCAGCAGACATATGCTAAACGAGCCGAAGCCGCCGCCCCCCGTCCCCCGCCGCCAGCATGCCAGCCACCCACCCACTGCCACCTCTTCGCTGGAGCCGAAGCCCGAGCCGAAGGACGACGAGCGTTCGGCTCAAAGGCCGCGTATAAAAGCCGCTGCTGGCCGCGCTGTCGGCTGCATTCTGCGTTCGGCTGGCGTAGGACGCGCTCTCCACTTGCTGCTCGCTCTCTCCACGCGATTTCTCTGGCGAAGGCGTAGAAGCGCGCCAAAAAAGCGCGCGCAAAAACAAAAAGCCAACTAACGGGACAAAAGTCGCGCGCGACTCGTAAGCTTGTTTACTTTGCCATTATAAATCCGGCGGGCGCTTTGTTTGTGTTTGTGTTTGTGTTGATGTTGGTAATTCCTTGTGTTCCCCCTTTTTTTTGCGCCGTTGTTGTTGCGCTCCTGTGCGCTCCACATTATTTCCATTTTTTTTGTTGTGTTGTTGTTTTTGTCGTTGTTCAAACAGTGGCCAAGAAATAACAGGAACAAAAGCTAGTAAAACAAACGGGAATTCGCAAAGCGGAAGCGTAAAAGGAAAAGTGTTGCATTTCCGTCGCTCCGCCGAGTGGATCGTTGGTGTTGTTGCTGCCGTTGCCGTTGCCCGTTGCCGTTGGTCTCTCCATTACCGTTAGCATCTTGGCCGCGGCAAAATGGCCGCAGGTGTTGGCTAAAAAAAAATGAGTACAGGCGAACTAATTTAAGTGGAACTTTCATTGCAAATATGGCGAAAAGTTTTGAAAAAATGTATAAACTTTTGGTTTTGATTATGGGAAAGAGTTTAAAAAATGTGCAGACTAAAACGCAAATGTTTTAGATCTGGAAAAATGGTTCTGTTTTTTATTGAAAAAATGAATATAAAATAAAAAATTATTAAAAACGATTTGAAAAAAAAAGTTTTCCCATTCTGAATATTAAGTATACGTACCTATGTACAAATGTATGTATATCCTGTCCCTAAATCATTAAAGATTTGTCTTCAGTTTCAAAAGAATTGTGTCGTGTAAGTTAGAAAGAAATGGGCAAAAATGTTAGTACATATCACCGATCTCTGTACCAAATAATCATAATCATCTTAGAAATGTTCGTTAAAGCGAATGTAAACTGTAGCGTAAAAGCACAAAAAACAGATCCGAACGGAAACAAAGGGGACGGGGCCAGAGATATAGAACAGAAACCACAGTCGAAATTGCCTCGGGGGAAAATACCCAAAATGGCATCATAAAATCATTTAATTGATGATTTAGTGCAGTTCGTGATATCAATATAAAATTCACCATTATCAGCCATGTTAGCACCGCCTCCCCCACCCAAAAAAAAAACGAAAAACGGGAAAAATGTTTTTCATTCTTTTTCACAAGCATATTTCAAACAACTGGACAGGGGGAAAACACCTGCGTTAAACATTTATGTTTTTAGCACTTTCTGCTGTCAATTTGACACTCCTGCACTTAACAATGCAAAGTGGGGAAACTCGTAAAACGTCTGAAACTCCAGCGAAGCAGATGAAAATTAAAGGCACGTCTGGAACTGGAACTCTTTATACGCTTCTTTAAAATCTTATTTTTTGGCCAAATCCTGCGCGTAGTAAACTTTTAAACTCGGGGTTTTATGCTAGATGCGTTTTTATTATAAAATGAGAGAGGTTTTTCGCTTAAGGTCTTTAAATTTAAGACAAAAATGTGTCTTTCGCTTTAAGCAGTTTAATATTACTATTGTAATAAATCTGATCAAAGTATGATCACACCCAGGCTCAAACTTTTTAAATCCCTTGGAATAGTTGAGCTCCTCCATTTGATAAACCAATCAAAATGGAAATTGCATTCTCTAGTGATGGAGCGCAATGAAAAAACCTGAGAATATACTCGTACAAAACTTTGCAACCTTTTTTTGTTAAAAAAAAAGTAGGAATTTAAGTACTTTGCCAAAGTATTTCGGCGTGTGGCGCGATGCAGAGAAGCTGGCTAAAACTTTTGGCACAAAGCGTTTGAAATTTCATTTTAATTCGTTTTCAATTTGGTCTAACCAACCGCAGGGCAGACTTAATGCCTCGAGGATTGCTTAACTCATGCCCGAGTTGACAGCAAATACGCAGATCCCCCGCAAGGCGATTAAACTTGGCACGGTTTTGTGTTAGGGTTTGGGTTTGGGTTTGGGTTTGGGTTTGGGTTTGGGCCACTCCATGGGTATTCATTGGCCAAAGTTCATTCACAGAAGCTAATTTGGCGGATGCCCCAACCACAATACGTTCAGCAATATAAAACGATAGATGGAAATTAATTGTGTTTATTCAGCTCTGATATTTTCAAATCAATGTTTATAAAGCCAAACTTCGTGCAAGTCAGGCATTTCCATTATTTACCATTTAGATTCTAACAATCTAACAAGAAATGACATTAAATGGGAAAGAAGAAATTGCTTTTCATATTATATGGTTTTTAATTTAAAACAAGCAAATTAAATTGGCTTTCTGGCAATTTCGGCCCGTTTGACTTGTTGTCTCTATGCAAATATACCGAAAACAATTTAATTTCAGAGAAAATACTTAATAAGTCTTCGTCGCATAAATCATTAAAGTGCTAAATTTCCGCTCGCCTGACATGTAATTCATATTATTTTCTCTTTCAACTATGAAAGCATAACATGATTTGCCCTGCAATTCAGTTGCTGAAATCCTCTTATTTCTTTGCCATCTCCCTTAAGCAGGACACGTTGTATTTTCCCAAGTCTGGCTTTATATCGACATACGTTTAATTGGAAATTTCAGAGCAAAGGCGGATGGTCGAGCACACGAGGCGTTGGAAATTCCTGTGTGCAATTTAATCTTGAATAAATACCAAGCTTTTGAAATTGAAACTATTTTCTCAGAATTTCCATGCAAAGGAAAGTTTAGTTCAAGTTGTTATCCCGCACTTGTTTATTACTGACGCTGATTCGAAGTGCATTTGGGAAACCTTTTCTGTAGTAATAGTCTCAAAATGATTCCGACTTAATGGGAAAGTAAAACATTTCCTCAGCGAAAGCTCGCTGATTTCGATATGCAACTTTGCTAAACGATAAAGTTACACTTTGACACTTTTACTTTCCCAACAGGAAGTTGGATGACTTGGGAAAGTAAACCGCAAACTGATTAATGCCATTTATGCCTGACAAATCCGGCGTTATGTAGCCAGATTTCCAAGGCTGCGAGGAAAGTGAGTTACACGTCGCCGCTGTGATGCTGGCACGTTGAAAACTTTTTCGGAGTAAGTTGAAGGAGTGTGGCAACTCGTAAAACGACGGCGATGCTGTAAAGTAAAGTGCGCTGCCACAAAAATTCGAAAATTCTTAATGCAGGCGGGTGGCCTCCTGAAATTCGCCCAGCGGCCATCCCATCGGTACATTACCATTACCACCCACCCACTCAACGACCCACAATATAATACCCCCAAACCATTCGCCGTAGATGGTGCCAGATAAATTTGTCATGTAAATACAATACAATGAACGTGTAAACATTTATTATGTGCTTACAATTTTGTTGTTGTCAATGCTCAAATCTGTCAATTGTCTGATTTAAATTGTACACGGATTTGTTTTATTATACCCGCTGTTCGAAAGGGAATGAGGGAATGTTAGAATAAAGAGCATTTTGGTTATGAAGTTTTAAAAATATTTAAATTTATAACTAGGATTTTGAAAAAGTGATTCTAAATAAATATTCTTGACTAGTAGAAAGTTATATATATCTTTTATAAGTAATGGGTATCTCTCAGTCCACTTAGTCTAAAAGTTTCAAGCGCCTGTTTGCTTTATTTTCGATTTCGTTTGGAGTGGAGTGTGATTTTATGTGAACACATCACCAATTTGATTTCCAAATAAATGGGTTTGTTTCCCCGTATCAATGATTTTGCAACATCAACATTTGCAGCAACACAACACCGATACACCGAAATTGCAAGCGATTAGCTATTACCGATAAACGATATCCGACATCTGAGGAACAATAATCAAGAATCGATCAGCAGGCCGAGCAATCCGCTTAAAATGCTGAAAATGCGGCTGCAGTTGAGCAGTCAAGATGGGAATTTACCACCCCGACATCGGCAGCAACAACAAAAACAACAGCGGCTGACTTATCATCATCGGGAGCAACAGCAAAAGCAAAAACAAGTGCTTCAAGGACGTTCGCCGGCATTGCTGCCAGTGATGCTGCTCCTCCTGATGGCCACGCTCCTCACGCGTCCACTCAGCGCATTCTCCAACCGTAAGTAGAGCCCTAAATGTATTCTTAATAGTATGTATTCATATCCTAATAACAAAACAATGATATCGGTAGCCAAAGTCCATCGATAATTCACAGTATTACCTTAAACTTAGTTTATTAAATTTAAAAAATGCATCAAGTTATCAACATTCTCTGGTTAAAGCCCAAAAGTAGTTAGTTCTGCCTTAAAACACTTTGATTATCCCTATATCAAGTTATCGATCACTAATCGATTGGTAAATTCTGTCGATTCGTTCCCTAATGTCATCCAACCGAAATATCTGTAAAATTATCTCTCAAAATAATATAATTAGAAAAATAATTTAGGTGGCCTTGGCTATTTACTCACTTTCAAATTATGTTATCGATCATCAAATTCCGTCGATTAATTCTCGATCCTCGATAGACATTCTCACGCGCCCATCTCCAAAACGCAAATGCATAGGCGGCATTCCGGCAGGGCAAGTTCAGTTGCTTGTTTGCCTACTTGTTTATAAAGCTGTCCGTCCGGATGGATGCCTGTCCGTATGGCTGTCCGTCTGCGTGAGTGTCAGTCCCTGTGTACGGGTAATTGCGTATGTGTGTGTGCGAGAGAGAGTGCCAGTTTGTGCCAGTGGATGCTGGCTGGGTGGATGTGGAAGTGGATGTGGATGTGGACGTGGATATGGAAGCATGCGTGGGGCATTAAGTTATCAAGTGGAGCGATGGCATTGGCATCGCCAAAGAAGATGGCGGATTTGCGGCCAGTTCTCTCGACTGTGACATGTTTGTTTGTTTCTCAGCTACAAGCATTAAAATTCACACCCACCCGCACACCCATTCACAGTCGTAAGGAGCGCCGGAGAGGGTAAAATTGAGACGTACCAGGACGAAGGACGGAGTCTGGGCCCGAGTAGGTGGCTTCCTCGTAAAGTTCATGGCTTGGTGGCTTGTTCCGAGCACCGAGTGAGACGACGACTACGACGACGCCTTGGCTGGCAGAACAGAAAGCGTGCATTAAAAATCAATAGAAGTTACAAATGTATCCTTCCATTGGGAAAAAAGGGCAAAACATTTGTGGCGCCATTTGTGCGCTGACAGCCTGACTGACTGACTAACTGACTGGTCGACTGGTCGACTGCCTTACTGCTTCGATGCTCCACTGCCCACGACCTCAACGGCGGACGCTACAAGGGTTAAAGGTGTTCCGGGGGTGGGAACTATGGACCATGCAGGTGCGCCAACGTCATCGGACGACTGATTTTGCAGATCCCCAGCCACAATGGTCCAATGGAATGGGATTGAATGTATCCGCCCGGCGTGGAAACGATAAAAACTTTGCAAGTCAGCGATAAGTGATCGATTGCCCGACTATCGAAGCGATTAAAGATCGATTAGTGTAGTAGTTTAGTTTAGAAAGCCAAAAAAAAGGTGTAAGCACGATAAAAGATAGATAGCTTACTTTTGAACATTTTTACAGATTCTTGCTCTTAATTATCCTTTAATTTGGCAATTTAATATACCTAATTTGCTAATTAAAATCTCTTGTTTAAGCATACACCTTAAATTTGGCTTCGCTTACATCGAAAACATTTCTATGCCTTAAAGTAAATCCATTTGGTCGATACTCTTGTGGCGATGCTAAGTAAACTCTTGGAATGGCCGAGCATCGAAGGCAACAAGTCCAAATTGATGCTCAAGTTACGCCGGCTATTTGATGACAGTTCATTGGTCCGATGGCAGCAACAAAGAGCATTCATGAATCATAAATGGGACAAACATTCTTAATGGCCATCCTAGCTGGGGCTCCACATGCTTGCACTGCTAAAAAAAAGATATTCCTATGATTTAGAAAGAAAAGAAAATAAAATAAAATACATATTCAAGTATTAAAAATAATCATTCAAGCGAATCCTATATTTTTGTTTCTTAATTTAAATTAACCTTGTTATTTTTCCCAGTGTAAGTGCCTGTGTGTGTATGCAGATGAAACTTTATATGTTCCTTCGTATTGGCCATTGAATGTCCATAAAACAAAATTTGAATGCGAACCGTAAACATCGGAATAAGCAAAATAATTTGTTATTTTTATGTCGTCCTTTTGCTCAAATTACGCATACGACGTGTGGACGCTCCTCGGACCTTGGAAATCCCAAGCCGACGCGTCGGACATCCGAAATCCGAAATCCAAAATCCGAAATCCGACATAAGTGTCTGATTAGTGCGAGAGGGCTTCGCCACTCCACTTATTTACCTTCGAGACGGGTGGGCCTCATAAATCCATAAGGAACTGACAAAACCGAAGGAAGCTCGAGTGAAATCACTTTGCTTCCCTTTTTGTATATCTTTTTGTGTATATCTTGTGTGTGTTTTTTTATGTCTGCCGATTGCCCGGCTTACGAGGGCTTTGGATCAGCGGGGCGCCAGGAGTCCGGAGTCGGGAGTTCCCCCCCTATAAACGTAAACCCTTGGCCATTTTCTATACGCCAGACACACGCACTCACTCGTATTCTCGGCTCTCGGTTCCGCTCTTCTAGCTTCCTGCTTAATGGCCAGGGCCATGTTGTACCAAACAATTCAATTTATATAATCCGGTGGACAGTGGGTGATGGTGTGGTGTGGTTCTGGTGCCGCTGCTCCTCCTCCATTCCAGGTTAATGTGTCACCGACAGACATCCCATCCACGGAGGATGCGAATGTCACGTTAAACGTATCACGTAACCGGATGCGTGTTACATATTGCTTTGCTCCCTTTATATATTTTTTTCTTTTCATCCTTTGAGCTCTCCGTGTTGCATTTGACTTGTGTAACCCCATTTATGCAAACGCAGATTTGATTGAATTTCGGTTGGAATAACAAAAAAATGTAACATTTATTCAACAGCTAAAATCTGGCAATTAAAGCTTTAATCGTTGCCCCAAGAGATTTTCAATTTAATACAACTAAAAACTATTCTTAATTGCAAAATCAATTCAGCATTCGGCACGTGTCGCCAAAGATAATGCCTCATTGTGTCACAGAAATATGACCAATTGAATTATAGCTCGCAAATAGGTTTAACAGTTCTCATAATGAAATATACTCATTTGTATTTTAAACGTTTTATACAACTTTGTAGTTTGTTATGCGCAATTAACACGGAAGTTTACATGTGGTAAAAATGAAAAAAAATTATAAATATAACAGCTCGATAAAAATGTAAGAAATCAAGAAAGGATCGTTCTTATGACAGCTATTTCATATAAAAGTACAGATTATAATTAAAGAATGTACCATTTTATGCCTATGGCAAATATATGATAAATTTCTGCCATTTTTAAAAAAATTTTACTCGAAATTCTAAAATATTATATTTCCAAGACTAGAAGATTGTATGTCAAATGTTATTATATTTTACATGGTTATTGCTATAGGAGATATAGGATATTTATAATATTTTACACTTTTGTGATCAAAGCACAAATAAAAATAAATGTCTGATAAAATAATGATTTTTAATATTTTTTTATCGCTAGACGCTGATGAAAAACCTATATTTTATTGCAAAAATTGCAATCAAATCGATTGACGTGGAGGAACAATTAAATACTTTAACATTTCGCTCACCCCTTGGCCCCCCTTTTCCCGTCTGTTGATTTACCTGCTTACCTGGCAGCTCCTACCTTTTGTGGCACCTGTCCTGACCAACTGCCTCTGAGCCCAGTCGGTGTTTATTTAATTCGCGTACATTTTTATTAATTTTAATTGAAAGCTTTACGAGCGTTTAGCTGTGCGCTTTGAGGCTTTTGGCCTCCCCTTTCTCCCCTTTGTAGCCCCCCTTCTTTGCAAGCGGCGCCTTTGTTTGAGCTTAACTTTGTTGTTGTTTTTTATATTTTTTTGTATTTCTCTAGCCGTATTGTTTTTGTTTTATGTGCTCAGCTGCAGTTCTTGCTCGCTTTCTTCTTTCACCTCTCCCTCTCCCCTGTCCTTCTGCGCTCTCCCACTCTTGCTGTCTCCTTCTTTTGCTCTCGCCGCTTGACTTTCGTCTTTGTCGTTGTTGTTGTTGTTCTTTATGCTCTGCTCTGTTTTTAGTGTTGATTTAGTTGTTGTTATTGTTTGGAGACTTTTGTTGTGTGCAAAGTGCTCGCGTTTATGTTTGTTGTTGTTTTCCGTCGTCGTCGTTGTTGTTGTTGTTAATGTCCCGGCGAACTTTTGTTGTTCTTATTGTTGTTCCGAGACTGCTTGGCACTAAGCTGACTGGACTTGACTGGAAAATTAAGAGACTGGAAGGAGAGCGCGAGATTTTCTCCGACTGAGATTTTTTCCAAAAGTTTAAATACCTAAAAAAATTATTATAATTATCTTATAGTCTAAATAAATTTAAATATCTTCAAGACAATCAATGTAAACTGCTTAGAAATCGATCTTTTGTATAAAAATGAGACTTATTTATTATCATCTCTTTTTTAAGATTATGCTAAATAAATAGTATAGCCCATAATTCACATCAAACGAAATAGTTTCAACACTTATCAACAGAGTTTATAATTAAAATGCAAAACAAAAGTGTTAGTGCTATTTCATTCGTTTTCGTTAGCAAAAATTCAATGGTAGCTAAACTTGTCATTAATTTTAATCAAGAGCCAAAATGGCCAAAGCAAACGCCCGATAAAGTATGCTATGAAAATTTAATTAGCACGACTGCATGCGAATTATACATCGATTTTTGGGAAATTCTGTTGGCATTTTGGTCATATGTATGTATCCACATAGAAGGATTAAGTAGCCAACATTGCCGTGTTTATTTATTTAAATAAGCAAAAAATAAAATCCAACCGATGTTGATTCAAGATCATTGAACCGAAATTTCAGTTGATTTATATATTTAAATTTCTATTGATTTAAGATCAATAAAACACATTTTCCGATTATGTCAGCCGGCTGAATGTGACTTTATTATTTATGCTAAAATGTTTCATTTATCATTGCGGCAGATTGTGAAAATTACAAAACAGTTATCTAATCCGGCCCGAAAATAATG